TTATCAGGCAATTATTTAAATCAAGGTGAGGAAAATGTTTAAAAGCCAATATGTTGTATTTAGTCTCTTTAAAAAAAGAAAAGAAATGCCTGGCAGTTTTTATTTTCCTCGCTGTAATCACTGCTCATATTTCATATTAGGAAACAGTAGGCATGCAAGGTGCTGCACCTGCCACATATAGAGTTTAATATCATAATCAGTCCTTTGGACTCTTAATATAATGGGGTACTCAAATTAAAAGCAGAGAATGTTCATGATTTAATTGCGCCACCATTTTTCTGTCATGACATTTAGAAAAAGGGCCAGTACATGTCATAAGCATAGTGTAGGTCAGTATAGACTGTACCTTATAATTGAATGCTGCTCCAGTGTTACACAAATAGCCTGTTGTTACAAGAATCTGGTATAATGGGCTGTCAGTAGCAGCAATGATGCTAGGCTAGTGAGTTTCTACACACTAGATTTACTCCATTTAAACATTTTAGGGGGTTTCCGATTAAGTAATTTATTGTGCTGTTACCCACAGCTGATACAATCTTGAAGATTACTAATAAGCACTACCTGACTTTGCAGGAATGGACTAGATTTGTCAATAGGCCAAAATATATGGCTTCAGATTATCACAGATAGCAAGATAATATTCAGACGGATTATCGACATAACACAACTGCTTTCATGTGTCTGAGGAGAGTGAGCATAACTGTAACTGAAGACCTGAATAAAGGAATGTGCTTATTGAGAGTAATGTTTTGAGATCCACTGAATTCTGATTTAGTGTTAAACTAAATTTGACGATACCTTTACAATGTTAAGTATAGTATAAATATGTTGATTCAGTGTGTCTTTTCTTCACATATCTCTCTCCAAAAAAGATGTTGCAATTTTTATTTTCCATTTTGTTCCACTGAGTATTAATGATGCAAGAGAGAGAGAGAGAGAGAGAGAGAGAGAGAGAGAGAGAGAGAGAGAGAGAGGAGGAAGAGAGTATGTTGAACAGGGAATGAGAAAGCAGAACAAGAGGAAACAACAAGAGCAACAGTCTTTCTTGCTGCGTTGTAATGGAGATAAAATAGGCCAGTTGAAGCATTTGGAGGCTTTTACATTATGGTGAGGTGGAGCCCCACTGGATGCATGCATCATAAACCACTCAAAGAAAAGGTAAAACGCGCTTTAATTCTATGTTGTATTCTGCAATGTCAACTTGGTGGTGTCTGCACTAATAAAGAAATCTGTATCAGAGTTTAACGGACTTATTCTGTAGTGTGGGTTTGAATCAGTGAGGAGGATGTTAGGATTATAATGTTTTCTGACAGAGACTATAGACAGCCTTAGCTTTGACAATATATTGCACAAACTCATTTTGAAAAAACGCAGCAAGAATGAACAGCTGTTTTGTCAAATCCTATTCTTCAATTCTACATCAAGAACCAGGTTTAAAATTAAAATGGTTTGTTGTTTTTCATTTGGGCGTTGTGGTAGGCCAGTGGTTGCGTATGTCACAACACCAGATTTTAATTTATCATAGCCAAAAAGACAATTCACGATAACAAGGCTGTTGAGATTTCTGTAGAACATTTAAAAAATGTAAATAAATAATGCAATAACTTTAATTCAATTCAATTCAATCTTTATTTCAGACTCAAGGTCCATATCACATATAATAATTCATCTATAACTTTTTGTGTTGACATTTTGTCTCTTTTTTGACAAATTACATTTAGAAAACAAGTGTACAAAAGGTGAAGAGTCTAACCATAAATTCACAAAGTTTACATTTATTTTCTGCTGGACACAATATTATCATATGTGTACTGCTGTATTATTACATCCTTAATCTCAAAATAGTTCTTATGTTTAGTAATGTTCTCACAGTATGCTTGTTTTGTTTAAAGAAGAGTGGAGCATATATGGGAAAAGCAATTGAATGTCGTGTTTGCTAATGCTGAAATTGTTTTAGACATTCTTGTTTTATCTCCTTGCTTAGAGTCAACAGGTTCCAGGGAAGCAAAACAAAACCTACAATCTTGACAGTGTGGCACCAGCTCAACAGAAAACCAGACCAGAGAGTACCACTGCAGGGCTCAGGGATCACTACAATTCTCTTTGCAACATTGACATTGGGCAGCCAGTGGGCGGAGTAGAGCCCGCTCACCATGTACTCGCCTCAGAGTCTCCACCGCTGGGGCATCACTCACAGTGAGAGTATGGAGCGGTTAGCCTACAGCCAAGGTAGGTTGGCAAGTATTTTTTATATGAATAACTTCATCAATTATACAACTCCTGTCAAGACTTAAAGGTCACCTATTATTAGACCCTCCAGAAAAACGCGGGCAAAAATCCTTGATTATGCGGGCTAAATTCCTTGATTATGCGGGCTAAAATCCTTGATTATGCG